CAGTTGAAGGCTCGTGTTGCTTGTGAGATTAGCACAGGTGACGAGCTGATGCTGAGTGAGTTGCTGTTTAATGGTTTCTTCAACAACTTGACTGCTGAGCAAATCGCTTCCGTTATGAGTTGTTTCGTGTTTGAAGAAAAGGTCAAGGAAGCCCCTACTTTGGCCAAGGATGAGTTGGCGAAGCCACTCAAGGAGATCCAAGCACAGGCCCGCATCATTGCCAAGGTATCGCAGGAGTCTAAGATGGCCGTGAATGAGGATGAGTACGTCCAGAGCTTCCACTGGGAGTTGATGGAGGTGATCTACGAGTGGACTCAGGGCAAGTCTTTTGCAGATATCTGGTATGCATTCCCCGTCTCATTATTCTAGCAGTATACTAACTGCCCCAGCAAAATGACGGATGTCTATGAGGGTAGCTTGATCCGTGTCTTCCGCCGGTTGGAAGAGTGTTTGCGGCAGATGGCCCAAGCTGCCAAGGTGATGGGCAGCGAAGACCTGGAGAGCAAGTTCGAGGAGGCCCTGGGCAAGGTCCGCCGCGATATTGTTGCTGCCCAGTCCCTGTACTTGTAGATACGATATCCCTTTTATGATCGGTGTCCAAAGAATAAGATTACCCACAATTTTTCCTTTTTTTTTTTTTTTTTAATGTAACTAGTGTAGTAGTAGATGATGCGGGTATTCGTATAGTCTTGCCCGAAAGCAGTGGAGAAGTTTTAAATCTGACACATTTGATTGAAACCAAAGGAAATATACATAAGAGATTTGGTTCTTTATGAAAGAGTATTATAGAAATAAAATATTCTTTCTAAAAGAAAACATTCCTTTCTATATTTGTATAATCCATGTCAAACCTCCTTTAAGGGCACAGATCTCCAAAAGCTGCGCAAAGGGAGTGCGTTGCCACCTGCAACGACTACTTTTTCTCCACCGCTACCTTTCTCTACCCTTCTTCTCCCCACTTCACAACCCTTTTATCCTCTTCTTCTTCAAGCTTGCCTTATTGCTGTTCTTTTTTCACTCTTTTGGATATCCCGAGTCCTTTGGACTATTACTTTTCTTCTTCGCCATCTGGCTGTCACCATGAACAGCTTGGTGGCTACACCTCCTGTTCCGCCTCACTTCTACGAGAACTCCCGATTCCCTCCCTCCCGTATGAGTAAGATATCCCTTCCCCGGACATTGAAATAATTTGTACTCTCTGTCCTGAGGTGGTTCTCTTTGATGCATTTGTATACTGACAAAACCCAGTGTCTACACCTTCGTCGTCGTATGCCAGCCGTAAACGGAAAGCCGACGACGACAACGACCATGATGGACGCATGTCTGCTTCGCCGACAAACTCTCCTGCCTTCACTCCTCGACAACTCCCGAACAGTTACCGCAACATCAAACGTTCCCGACCGAACGTTTCAGGTCGACCTCTATCTCTGCCCCGTCTGCTAGAGACCCTCGATACAGATGCCTTGCGGACGGTTGTACGGACCATGTGCGAGCGTCATCCTCAACTCGCTGACGAGGTTGTGCACACATCCCCACGTCCAAATGTCTCCTCAGCCCTTCAAGTCCTTCGAAATTATCAGGCTTCCCTCCAGTCCTCATTCCCGTTGGGTGGCAACACCGAATCGGATTATGCCTACAACCGAGTTCGACAGCCGCTCACCAACCTTCTTGATGCCCTGAGCGACTTCACTCCTAACTTCCTTCCACCAAACGAAACCCAAGCATCCACATCCTTGAGCTACCTAGACGGGGCAACCGACATCATTCATGCCTTGCCTCGGTGGAGTACGCCACAGAACAACATCGAACGAGACTCAGCCTACGACGAGATGTGCAAGGCATGGGTTCTGGTCATCCGGGAAGCGGCAAAAAGAGGTGGCGGTATTCAGTTACAGTACGGAGGTTGGGATCAAAAGCTGGCCAAGCACAACCAAACCTCTGGAGGAAAGCTCCAGGGAGCTGTCAATGAACTCGGTTTCAGCTTGGGATGGATGGGTGGACCTGATACGCCATCCCACGCAGCCAACAACGACATGAGCTCCATACGGGATCAACTCTTCTCCGGAACTTATGGGCTGGGAACCCCAGTCAAGGTCGGACCATGGTGATAACTCACGTCACTCCGATTTCCTCACGAAAGACCACCATTACATTTACACCGCTCTTGCGTGTCGGCCTCACGTCCCCCCATACATGCCGGCTCTCACTTGAGCTTGACCGACGGTCCATACCCCTTTGACCGCGCAATTTTCGACGCATGTCACGATCACGATACCTGCTGCATGACCCTAGAATCGACATGGTCAGGCGTTATAGTACTCAAGGCGGATAACCTACAGCTTGTTTTTTTTTTCTTTGTCTGCTTTTTTTTCGGCTGGAGATTTGCAGGATGAATGCTGTTTTAAACTTGTTTGATTTCCAAATCTTTCAATGAATTCAGACTCAGTATTATTTTCTTTCGTCCTTGCTTTGCTCACTTGTTGTATTCAGCTTTACATGACCCATCCTTTCCTCTTTCCTTCATCTGTGTATTTCATTCCAACTCTGATACTCTCTTTACATCTACTGGCGCCCTGGTGTCGCATACATTTCCCTCTTTCATTCATGTCTCATTGTCTTTGTCTCCTTCTTTCTCTTCTTCTATTTTACTGTTATGAGCTGTCTTTGTCTGTTTCACTCTTGGAACGTGTCTCAATCTCTATTGCTTGTGCCATTTTATCCCTCGCATATTCCAGTTATGCGTGTCAGAGCGACAAATTCCATCTTAGGCCATCAAACCTAGGTAATCTTTGCGCTTCTCAGCTTTGGGAAATTTGGCGGAGATTTGAACCTATTCTACACATTAGAGGAGAACCACTCGCCATCCAACTCGGTCTGCAACATACGTTCTGATCCTGTCATATCGCGCAACATATTTTTGATACGTTGTTGATTGATAGGGGCCTTGAGTCACACTAGCTTGCTTCATTGGAATCCTATCAAATTTGTTAGACCTTTTTGTCCTCAGGTAGAATGATGTAAAAACTGGAGTGTTTCCCTATTCTTTTAGGGCTTTTGCTTGGCCACATATAACCAGCTTCATAGATATTCCAAACAACAAAGCTAATAAATAAGTACAAGCAAGCAAATACAAAAACAATATTTAACAGACAATCACTCCCAACCAAAAACATCGCTCAATTACAATTCATAATTCATATCACTGCCCGTTTAATCAAACGAAACAACCACCCAGCATCCTCCCACCCACCCTGACTCCCAGGCTTCTCAATAGAAGCAGCACTACCAGTAGAACCCTCCCCATCCGACAAACCCCCATCCCCAGCCGACCCAAGCGAAAGCGTATCATCATCCCGTCCATCCACCAAAACAGGCTCATCGAATGTAACAGTAGTAGTAGTATCCGCCATACCAATACGCGAAGCATCCGCCGCAGCAGCCGTCGCAGCCGGAACACCCACAGGCCACTCATCGACTCCGAAAAGCGTCCACTCAACCAATCGATCAATCCAAGAACCAAGTCCGAACCCACGCTCACGCGTCAGCCGCTGCAAATCCGCCTCATCGAAGTCATCGGGCATTTCGTCAGAGTCACACGAATACTCAGACGAAATCTCATCTTCGTCCGAGCCAGCACGCTCCCAGTATACAGAGTCTCCATCGGGGAATCGGTGCTGTAGCGATTCCATCTCTGCGCGGATATGCGCGTCTACGAAGTCGGGCACTAGAGGACTACGTCCGCGCGCTTCGGGGCTTGCTGTGCGTGTCACCGTGCCTGTGTCTGTGTCTGCGCCTGAGTGCATGTACACTCCCCTCTCTGTTGGCGTTGAGGTAGATGATGCAGTCGGGAGGGTGGTCATGGTTAGATGGACTCTGCTGCCACGTCGACTGACGCGTCTGCTACCGGCACGGGAGAGGGTGCCGGCTCCTGGTGTTGAAGCGCCAGAGCGGGAAATACGTGACGAGGCGCCTGATTTGGTGCGGTGGTGGCGGCGGTTAGTGGATGTTTCGTCGAAGGGCGTGTCTGGGACGAGACTTGTAGATGTCTCGCGCTTGGAGAGCCAGCTTTGGCCTTTTTCCTCGCGGGTCGAGGAGGATAGGGCGATTCCTGCGCGGAGCATCCATTCTGCGTCGTATTTGGATTTCGGCGTGTTGTCTGGGACAGGGCGTCGTCCTTGCGAATACGAGATGTTGGTTTGTTTGCTGTGTGTGTTTGGGACATGGTGCAGGGCATGGCCTAGGTCCCTGCTGTGTAGGTTCGTGTCGCTTAAGGGTAGAACCCTTGTAGAGCTCTTGCTACGTGTGTGGCGGCTTCGTGAGTTGCTGCGTGAGTGGGAGAGGATCGGTGGCGTGCTTGGGACTGAGACGCTAGATAGATAGGATGATGCTGGTGGTGTGCGAGTACCGCTAGCTGTAGGTTCATAATCGCGGTTGTTAAAATAATCTGTTGGATCTGTGTCGTCGTCAATGGGAAATCGTGGGTTTAAGGGTGCTAGAGAGATGTGGCGGAGGGAGGGGTATGAGCGAGAGGACTGGAAGCCTCCCGAGGTGAACTATATGTGCAACGTTAGATATCCAGTTCATGTTTTTGTCCAGATATGAATCTTGTATTTACCTCCATGATATATTTTCCAGTTGCAGCTGAAACCTCAAGCGGGATTAGAAATGAAGAGGTCGGGATGCTGGAAATGCGGAGTTGATGCACGTGCGGTTGACATGTGAAAGTGGCCGAGCGGCAATGTTGAAGAAGGGTATTTTGCCCGAGGGTAGAAATTATATAGTCATTACGGAGTATATGGAGATAGATTGTGTGGAGCGTGAAAGTTGTAAATAAACAGAATTGGATGCCCAGTGGATTGACCGAGAAGATGATGGATTTATAGAAATCGTCCAGTTGTACAGTCAAATCATACGATGATAAAATTGTACTAAGTGTTGAAAGACCTTAATTCCATGTTAATTGCTGAGAATTAACTTGAAATTCTCAATACTCAATATGCTTATAGGCGTGAACCTTGAAAGTCCAAATATCCCTGGCCCTTGGTCTTCAAGTCTTCTAGAACATTATACTCCATAATCCACCTCATACGCTCCCTCAATGCATCCGGGTTGAACTTGTCGGACATCTGGCCGGGAGAGTCTGAGCTAGCCAGCTTGCCGGCTTCGTAGCTGGTCCTTGTGATCCGGTCTGTCCGGGGCTTGCGTAGGTCCTGGTAGAACTTGAATGCAGTCTCCAGGTCATCTGTCTTCCAGTGTCTAAGGACTGTTGCGAGGGCAATGCCGGATTCAATTGCCATGCATGTTCCCTGGCCTATAGCATACTGTTAGTATATGTCCCGCACTAGGACTACACATAGGTAGGATGCGGCATACCTTGATGAGGAAGAGTCGAGTGGGCCGAGTCACCAAGCAGAATGATGCCAGCATCCTTCTGTCCACTCTTCGTCTCATACCACTTGGCGATAGGGTCACGCACATACAGCGCCTGTTTGAGCATTTTGCCGTCCTCGGAGCTCTTGCGCAGGCCCGCAACGATATGCTGCACCTCCGGACACCAGTCACGGACGTGCTCCTGGAGGCTATCAATATCCGAGCGCGACATCCAGCTCTCAGAGTCCCATGCCTCCAACGACTCAGACATAAAACCAATCACGCCAGCACGGTCGGTCCCCGTCTCCTGGTTACCAATAGGCAAGATCAGGAGATGGCGCTTGGGTCCACGGAAGTTCACAGTCTTGCGCAGAAGCGCCGCCGTCTCAGTGGGTAGGTCCTTGTAATCGACGAATCCACGGTACACAACCTGGCCAGAGTAGTTGGGGTCGTCTCCCAGGCCCATATCCCTGCGCACATTCGACTTGATACCATCACAGCCGACTACAATATCTGCCTCGGCGGTACTGCCATCCTGGAAACGAAGGGTGTACGGTGCAGCACCAGCGGCAGTGTTGCGGTCGATGGATGCCAGGTGCTTGCCTAAGTTCAGGCTTGACTCCGGCACGCGCTCCTTCAGCGAGTCCAGTAGGTGGGCGCGGTGCAGGAGGCGCGCGTGGGGCTGTGAGAATTCACCAATGTGGCCAAGATAGTCTCCGGTCTTGTAGTCGTGGTATTCCATATAGCAGGGCAGCTTGCCAGATGACTTGCGCTTCATGCTCTCTTGCAGACCGAATGCGTCCAGGATGCGGTTTGCGTTCGAGGTGATGTTCACACCGGCACCGACTTCACCGAAGTTTGCGGCTTGTTCGTACAGTTGCACGTTCTTCAAGCCTGCGTACAGTGCGGCATTGAGAAAGGCCATGCCTCCTAGGCCGCCGCCGACAATTACAACTCGTTTGTCTTCGAACCCCATTGTGGGCGTAGGGGATAATTTGATGGTGAGATACTAAAAACTGGAATAGTATTGAGTGAATGATGTTCGGTATTCCAAGTTCTCAAGCAAGCTTTATGTATATTTGCTGGGACTCCACCCTTTTCCCCCTCCCCCAAAAGGACTACCCGATCAACCGTCTTGGAGATCCCCTTCGGAGCGTGGAGTAAATGTGGGGTGACAGATGATTCCGAGACCCTACCTCGGATTTCCCGAGTTCCAACGCGCATTAGTGCGAAATGCCATGTTTTCTGAATCTCGAGCATGAACTCGGGGATATGCAGTTTTGGGGACTTCTGATAGTCGACATATTCTGTTTTATATCACTTACAGTGATGGTGGATTCGGTAATGCGAAGCAACTTCCGAAGTCGAACGTAGATATTGTGCCTATGTATTTTCTTGATGTAGCCCTGGGGATTCCAAAGATTTCAAATATAGCTGATAACTAGCAAGTATATTGTATAATATAGCCAATCCAGATGATCTGCGTCAGAATATAATAGAGGGTCATGTCTCAGATTCGGAAGTCCCCGCCATTTTTTGGAGGAGCCACATCCGAAAATCCCCAAAGCTGTCGGAGCATCTTTTGATTGGTTCACTGGTTCCGGAGAACCCTGAACATTTCCAAGGTTGGTTGACTCCGCAATATCAAATCATCAAGCCTGTCATTGGCCGGGTAAAAAGGTGTTCGGCATTTCTATATAAACTCCGTAATTAACCGGTATTTACTCCACAATTTTTCCCTTGTTCACAACGAAGCCCTCCAACGCGGCAATAGCCGCCCACAAACGATTTTCGGCTTCAGGGAAGACCAGAGAGCGTGGGCTGTAGAAGACCTCATCTTCTACTTCCTCGGGGTGGCGGGGCAGGCAGTGCATGAACTTCCAGCCCTCCTTAGCGCCACCGCGCTTAGCCAAATCAGCAGTGATCTGGAAGCCCTCAAAGGCCTTCATGCGCTTCTTGGATTCCTCCTCCTGGCCCATGGACACCCAGGTATCCGTAACCAGGATGTCGGCGTTCTTCACGGCCTCCTCAGGAACGTTGGTTTGGATGAGCTTGCCAGCATTGGCGGCACCCTCACCAGCACGCTGAATGATTTCAATCATGTGCGCAGGGATTTCATAGCCCTTAGGGGTAGCAACAGCCACGTCCACACCCATCTTAGTAGCACCAATGGCGAGATCGAACAGAACATTGTTCGCATCACCAACCCAAGCGATCTTAAGACCCTCCAGGCCCAGGCTGGAGAGCTTGTGTGCCTGGACGGGGAAAGACTCGTAGATAGTCAAGAAGTCGGCGATGATCTGAAGCGGGTGGAAGGAGTCACACAGCGCATTGATCACAGGCACGGTGGAGTGCTGTGCCAGACCCGCGACATCCTCGTGCTTGGCGACACGCGCAACAATACACGAAACCATGGAGGAAATCACAACGGAGGTATCGTATAGGGACTCGTTGACACCGAGCTGGATGTCATCCTTTCCGAGGAACATGGGGTGGCCACCCATCTGAACGGCGGCGGCTTCGGTGGATACACGGGTACGAGTACTGCGCTTGTTGAACATCATGGCCACGGTCTTTCCGGAGAGGGATCCCAAAAGGCTTTCCGGGATAGCTCCGGACTTGATGGCACGCTTGTGCGACGCAGCATTTCGGACCAGGGTGGCGAATTCCGTAGGGGTAAGGTCTGCGATGGAGAGAAGGTGACGAGGGGCGAAAGGAGAGGTGGGAGGTAAGGTCGGTGTCTGGTGGGCAAATCGTCGGATTCCATTAGCCTGGAGTGTTCGACGCAAAGATGAGGTGGAGCCGGCCAATTGGTTTACACTTTGGGCACCATAGCGGGCGGCAGCTGTGAGTCCACTAGCCATGATGAGCTGGAGGTTATTGGTGAGTAATTGGAGTGTTGTGGGAAAAGGAAAGGGGAAAAAAGGAAAGGGGGAGCCCTAGAAGCGAAGAAACCTTGGATGAGTGACTCAATAAATTAGTCTGGTGGATGTGATGTGCGAGGGTATTGGTGCCTTGTGGCCCAATAATTCAGGTACCAAGGTGTCTATCTCTCCACAGCTCCGGTTCCGTTATCATTGGCCTATCGTCATCAACTCCATTACATCTTGCCTCTCCCTTTCTTCCTCCATCCCTCTCTCTCTCTCTCTCTTTCTCTGTGTTGTGTGATTTGGACTCATTGTTTTCCTATACTCCCCATCAGCTCTAACAACTACAACTCACTGTGATTTATCCATCCATCTAAGGCCACAATGGCTGACGAGGCAAACCAGCCTCTGCTAGATGCGCAGTTTGGCTCCGAGAGAGCATCCGCATCATATCAATTATCGACAGACTCATCGCATGAGTTTCACAGCTCTGAATATAAATCGGATGGTAAAATAGAGCAGAAAATATCACGATCTCATTTAGGTTGGGCTGCGATGTCGGATGCGACCGACCAGGCTCTGTTGGATGAACAGTCTAACCTTACTGAACGGTCTCTGGGGCAGAACATATCACAATCTCATTCAGGTTGGGCTGCGATGTCGGATGCGACCGACCAGGCTCTGTTGGATGAACAGTCTAACCTTACTGAACGGTCTCTAGAGCAGAAAACATCACAATCTCATTCAGGTTGGGTTGTGATGTCGGATGCGACCGACCAGGCTCCGTTGGATGAACAGTCTAGCCTTACTGAACGGTCTCTGGGGCAGAAAACATCACAATCTCATTCAGGTTGGGCTGTGATGTCGGATGCGACCGACCAGGCTCCGTTGGATGAACAGTCTAGCCTTACTGAACGGTCTCTGGGGCAGAAAACATCAAAATCTCATTCAGGTTGGGCTGTGATGTCGGATGCGACCGACCAGGCTCTGTTGGATGAACAGTCTAACCTTACTGAACGGCCTCTGGAGCAGAAAACATCACAATCTCATTCAGGTTGGGCTGTGATGTCGGATGCGACGAACCAGGCTCTGTTGGATGAACAGTCTAGCCTTCCTGAACGGTCTCTGGAGAGAATATCCGTCGACCAGCCTAGGCCATCATATGAATTGTCATCAGAATCAACACCTTTATTACACCGCCGTGAAGATGGATTGACCTACGGGACCGAGCAAGGATTGTCGCGATCATCTTCGTTCGCATCACAAAACCCGCCCGAGGATGGCGTCAACAAGAAGCGGAGCCGTGTACCATGGCCGACGGTTATCTCTCTCTCTGTTTTAACGCTGAGTGTTTTGACGATATTGGTACTTGCCTTTGCTGCCCCGGCGGCAGTTCAAGAATATGCCCAAGAATCCGCTGTCTTCAAACCGACGGCAGTATCAATTGATTCCACAACATCCAACGGTGTTCGAGCTCGGATTCAGGGCGATTTCGTGATGGACTCGGGCCGCGTTAAGAATAAGTCAGTCCGAGGCATTGGTCGATTGGCCACGTGGATTGCCAGGGAGGTTGAGACGGGCCCATCGAATGTTGAAGTTTATCTCCCAGAGTATGGGAATGTGCTTGTTGGAAATGCAACATTGCCCTCCATCAAAGTGAACATCCGTAATGGCCATCATACCAATGTCGACTTCCTCACTGATCTAGAGGCTGGTGACATTCGAGGAATCCACGCGGTAGCTATTGATTGGATTGAGGGAAGATTGGGCCGCCTTAATGTCAAGGGCAAGGCAACATTGCAGCTCAAGTCAGGATTGTTCGCTTTAGGAACTAAAGTTCTGACTGACAATATTATCATTGAAGGTATAGTGTATTTGGTCGTTTTTGGTACTGGAGCATATAAACTAACCCTCCTCAGAACATGATTTCCCTGCTCTGCCAACGATCAATATCCTCAAGCTGAATGTGCATGACGCAAACAGTGGTGCCATGGCAGTGGATGTCTTAATTTCGTCTTTGATTGATTCTCCCGTCGCTCTCACTGTTCCTGCCCTCGGCTTTGACATTCTGGTGCCAAACTGTTCACCCGGGGATCCTTATATTCTGGTCGCCGATGCGAAGACAAGCGCGGTTGATGTTTACCCTGGCCAGGAGACTGCAGTCGGCATTGATGGTCTCATCCAACAGCTACCCGATGCATTGACCTCTACCTGCCCAGGAAAGGAGGGTTCTCCTCTAGATCTTTTGGTTTCGAGCCTTATGCAAGGTCTCGAAACGACTATCTACGTTCGTGGATCGGATGCACCATTGCCCGATACCCCAGCATGGATTGTCGATCTACTGCGCAGCGTGACTGTACCTCTTCCGTTTACGGGACATGCGTTGGACAACCTCGTGAAGAACTTCACGATGTCCGATACACATTTCTCCCTTCCTAACCCTTTCGCGGAGCCAGATTCCCCGGACTCGCAACCAACAGTGTCTGCTCTAGTGAAGGTTCTCATCGCTTTGCCAGAGGAGATGAATTTCTCAGTAGAAGTCCCGCAAGTTCGTGCCCTTGCAGATGTCTACTACAAAGAAGAGAAGTTCGGCGTGTTGAATATCAGCCACTGGCAAGACGCCAACTCCACATTGGTGGATGATCAAGATGGATCTTCTGCACTCCTTGTGGAGTTCGCACTCAAGGAAGCACCATTACAAGTCACAGATGACGGGCTTTTGGCAGAGGTCATCCAATCAATGCTTTTCGGCAGCGAAACAGTGGTACTGCGGGTCGCTGCCACCGTAGACACAAAGGTCTCAACTGGCTTGGGTCGCTTCGCCGTGCGAGGACTCCCTGCGGAAGGGAAGGTACCCGTGAAGAGTATGTTTTCATGAACTAGAAGATCTTAGTACAAATCAAGATTATTTCGGCCATTGACCATGTCATAGCTTCCATCGGGAATTCACTTGACCGAATCAATCCACGCATCGTCTCATTAAAACTAGGAAACACGACTAAATCCTCTATGATGGTATCTACGCAGGCGAATTTTACCAATCCAACGAATTACTCGGCCACAGTCCCCTTCGTTGACCTCCTCATACTCTACAATGACACTGCTGTGGCCCACATCACCGCTCAGAATATCTCCGTTGGGCCTGGCAACAACAGTTACGTGCCTATCGACTTCTTTTGGTGTCCGTTGGACGCAGCTGGAGTAGATGGCGTCGAGGCAGGGCGGGCATTGTTTTCATCCTATATATCAGGTCAGTCCCTTGTAGATGGCATGCATTCCTGTGATAGATTATGCTGATGCTTTCACTCAGGCTTGAATACATCGATCACCATCAAAAGCCATCGAAACACGATTCCATCTCTACCCGGCCTAGGTGAAGCATTATCCGTCCTCAACATTACTGTTCCTGTCCCTCGCATATCTACTCCGGGTTCACCGGGAAGCGATGATGGGGATCAAAAGCCTCGTTTTATCCATGATGCAACGGTACATGCTCCTTTTCACAAATACCATGTCCCCACACAGAGAGAAGAAATAAGTTTCAACTAACACTTACTCACAAATATAGTTCTACCTCTGGTCCTCGACAGCAGAATTCATCCTCTCCTCGCCCCTGACAGAAAACAATATCTCAATCACCTCGATTGACGCAACGGCTTTCTATGAGAAAAATGAGCCAATCGGCCGAATCAATCATCGTGAACCCTTCGAAGTGCCGCCTGGTATATCCAGGAGTCCACGCTTGCCAGTCGATCTCGATATGGGCGGGGTTGGGTACGACGCTCTGCGTAAGGCACTCGGTCAGTCGTTGGAGATGGATGCTGTCGCTAAGGTTGGAGTTCTAATTGGGAACTATACGGATGTCATTCTCTACCATAGTAAGGGCATTGCGGCTAAAGTGAGGATTTAGAGTGTATTGAAGGTCTTGTTGTGTTTGTTGCTACTAGATCGGCGATGTCCGGGTGCATACATATGTTGCTCCCAGTTTACATCCATAGATGAAAGCCAAATAAAATCACATCAAACTAACAACAATAGTAGAGACATGTCCAAACAATAACACTAAAAATGTCCTCTATTCTTCTAATCGGAACCTCAGATTGTCACTGCAGCGGTATATATATATTAGGCCCTAGACTCTGCTCGGGAACACACCAGGAGCCAGTACCTAGGTAAGTACATGTGTTTGATATAGATGGAACATACATATGTTAATCATAGGGTGACCAGTTGGAAGAACACCACTGCAACCGTGGCTAGTTGCCCTCCCTCCTATCCCTTCTCATTGTCTCATTGTGAAATCCTGTGCTATTCATTCCCTCCTACTGACCTTCACTATAGTCCCACCTGGGCATGTACCAGTATTAAGCTATACAATGTAGAATGGGCCTGATATATTGTACATATATGCGCATGCTGAAGGGGTTGTTGGAAGTCTTACATCTCATTAGTTGAGAAATTAGATGGAACTTCTTTTAGATGGACATGCGCAGTATTTATATGTTTTTTAGGTTGTCATCGTGGTAAGACCATAAACTACGGTTGATATAGAAACACTAATGCCATTAACACGTTAATAGCAATGGTATTTTCTCCATGATTAATGCTTGAGAGACTATTGGAAGCAAGCGTGGTGGAGTATGTACGATCGATCTCCAATCTAGGGATGGTAGATATCTGTTGAATAACCGTACACCGCCACTTGAAGTATCATAGAAATTTGTCGTTGAACAAAGCAAGGGTTATGTATAAATACGGCGGAAACAATAATTGTTGTAATTTTACAGACAATGGCTAAGCCATCAATTTTAAAATTATGTCAACTCCACGGGAAAGCTATAAGATACAAAAAGCCAAGAGACCAAACGAATCCTATTCGGGTATGTAAGTTTTGAGTTGGAAATTCGATATATAGTTTAGCCAGGGGGCAGGGTGCTGGCATCAACAACGTCGGCAGCATCCTTCTCGATCTCCTCGTTGGGCTCGCCCAGAGGAGAGCGGGGAAGGGCCATCAGACCGGTCCGGGTGGACTCAAGAATACCGAAGGGACCGATCAGCTTGAGGAAAGAGTCGATACGGTTAGGCTTGGCAGAGCTATAGGAGGCCGAATGAGTCAATTGTGATAAAAAAGCATGAGTCAGAACAGAGGAAATACTTACACCTCGACAATGCAGTTGTTAGTGCTGATATCCAGGATCTTACCACCGAACTGGTGAGTCAGGCGGGTAATGGCATCCAAGTGCTCATGCTTGTGACGCAGAGCCTGACTCTGGGGAAGGTGACGGGGGTGGTATTGCTGGGCGGTGTGGTCAAGGCTGGCGTGCTTGTGGTCCAGGGAGTCTGGCGAGGTGGTGATCTCGCGGTGGTGCTGGAGAAGCTCCTCAAAGAACTCAGGACCAAGAATAGAGACCTTAGCCAGGAGAAGCTCACGCTGCACAAGAGCGGAATCAGTGTAGTCCAACACAGCCCAGACGGGGACAAGGTCATCCAGCTGGCGGCGAGCCTGCTCGACAACACCATCCTGGCCCTGTAGTACGATGGTCATGCGCGAGAGATCCTCAACCTCGGTGTTGCAAACAACCAGACTGTCGATGTTGAAGCCACGGGCGGCCAAGATACCAGACACACGGGACAGCACACCGGGCTCGTTCTGCACGAGGCAGTTCAGGATGTGCCGCTTGGGTGGGTTGGAGGGTGCCACGGGAGTCTCATAGAGAATGGAGGAGACAGCGGTGGGAGCATCCCATTGTGGGGAAGCATCGGAGACCGGCAAAGGCAGAGGAGAGCGACGGTGCAATGCCTTGTAGGCAAGAGCTGAAGTTGAGCTCGACGATGCACGAATAGTGGTGAATCGAGGAAGCGCAGCAGCGCGGGACCGGGCAGTAGCTGCAGCAGATGACAGCTGCGACGCTGACCCCAGGGACAGCGTCAATGGGCGCCTGAAAGCCATGAGGAGTTCAAATAATGTGAATGGGTTGTGCGATGATTCATTCACTCCAGATTCGCCCCGGGTATATTCTTTTTAATGCGCCGACCTCGGCGACCGCCCGCTGACTCAGAGTAAGCTAGACCTAAAGTGGTGTAGTGCACCTGCTAGTATAGAAAGCACGTGATCTCTTACCACGTGACCTCCAATATTCAACATGGCCGAAGGGATTGCCAAAAACCGGACCAGCTTTTGGAAATGAGAAATATATCATAATCGTCATATTCTAATCACTTGGAGCTTTTCAGTTTACTCAAAATCTCCTCGAATTTGTCTTGGGTGGCTTTGTTGGTTGGTTGTTCGGCCTCCACCTCTAAAACTCCTTCCCGCATTCGATCTGGACCTTTTTGAGCTTCTCTTCCCCGACCTTTTCTCTCCCTTTTCACTGTACCCCATCTTTCACCATGGCGGACGATGAACATCGAGTGAAGCGATCTCGCTTTGACCAAGCTGAACCTGAGCCCCGGCGCTCCCGTTTTGACCGACGCTCTCGATCTCCGTCCAACAAACAATCAGAGTCGGCCCGCACTCGTAGTCCGTTGAGTCGCCCGCTGAGTCGCAGCCCTAGCGCAGATGCTCCAGAAAAGCCATCTGCAGTGGATCCTGCCGCCGCCGCAGGTGCGTTACACTCGGGTCCATATACCATCATAATTCAGATCATACGGCTAACTATTGTGGTCTCTATAGCGGCAGCAGCAGCCAAGATTAATGCGCAGCTTCAGGTGAAGAAGGGCATTCAACACGTTGATGTTCCTCCAGTCCGCTCTGTGAATACACACTCACTTCGATTCGTTATACCAAATTTCTAACAATGTGTGACAGGCCGAGAACACGACAGAGAATTCCCAGTCGCCCGCCGCCGAGGGGCGCAGCGACTTTGAACGCCGAAATCTATGTCGCAGATGGAGACTACATCAAGGACATTGAGATCAATGATCTACGCAATCGCTATACCCTGACGAAGGGATCTACTCAGAAGATGGTAATTATCCCCTTTGTCAATTGCTGATATTCCAGTCATGTTCCTCATAGAAGATTGGGGTACTTTGTATTTCGCTCTCTCATCGTTCTGCTCTCTTCTTTCGGACTTGATGAAGCTTACCCTTCACTAAAACATAGCATCCAATTCACCCTCTGTTGCATCTGCTGACCTCCGCTGCGTGACTTATAGATTCAAGATGAAACCGGCGCCGGTACGACTTCCTTTTATATTTTCAACTTTAGGCAAAGAAGGTCTCACTCACTGTTTTTTTCTCTCAAGATGTGACAACCCGAGGCAACTATTACCCCGACAAGAACATGGCGACTGCTGCGGTAAGGAATACTCCAAACATTGGCGAGATCAAAATGCTGATTATTCTTGTTTAGAGCCCTCCCTTGTACCTACACGTGACCAGCACCAATAAGGATGGTCTGGAGAAAGCAGTCTCGATGATTAATGACCTGATGCAAAAAGAACTTCCGAATCTGGTCGACGAGCGACGCTTCCGCCGCCGGGAACCCGAGCAACAGGTTGAGCGGGATGAGTATGGCCGTGTATGGGACTATTCCTTTCCCCTTGGTTAATATAATAATCTGGCTAACTTCATACAGCGCAAATGGCCGGATGAACGTATCCCCATCGATCTTGAGCCCATCCCTGGTTTCAACTTACGTGCTCAGGTCGTCGGACAGGGCGGTGCCTATGTGAAGCACATCCAACAGCAGACTCGTTGCCGTGTTCAGATCAAGGGCCGTGGCTCCGGATTCATCGAATCGAGCACTGGCCGTGAAAGCGATGAAGCTATGTTCCTTCATGTGGCGTGAGTTTTCATCCATTTTCTTGCTGACGTTGTTTCTTACTTCCTTTTTGCCTCGCTCATTTCTACTATGAGCTTCTACTGACAGTCTTTTAAGTGGTCCTGAAGCCAACGATGTCCAGCAAGCAAAGGAGCTTTGCGAGGACCTCCTAACCAATGTCAAGGAACAATACCAGCGTTTCAAGGAGAACCCACCCCAGCACAACTACGGTGGATACCGCGGTGGTGATCGCGGTGATCGTGGTGATCGCTACCAAGGTGGAGGTGGTGGCGGTGGTGGATACGGCGGTGGCTACAACAATCGTCAGCAGCATAATACTTCTTCTGCTAGCCCTGCAGGCCAGGCTGCCGCTGCCGCTTCCCCGAGCGCCGCCGCTACCCCCACTGCCGCTGACTACAGTGCTCAGTACGCCCAGTACTACGGCACTGCCGACCCCTATGCTGCCTACGGTGGATATCAGAACTACGTCGCATACTACCAGTACTATCAGCAAATGGCCGCCGCCCAGCAGCAAGCAGATGGCACTGCTCCGCCTGCTGCCCCGGCTACCGAGGCCCCTCCTCCACCTCCTAGCTCTGGATCCCCGCCACCTCCGCCTCCTGGTGCGGGTGGCAGCTATAGCGCGGTACGTTATTCGCATGTAACTCTGTGCTAGTTTTGATTACTGATATATGAGTTGCAGGTCCCCCCACCCCCTGGTCTTTAGGCCAGAAGCTGTTTTGGTGGGTTAATGTTGTGCCTCCCGCTGTCCAGTCGCATTCATTTGACATATACGGCGAACAAAAGCATGTCCTGGTCGTTTGCAAAACGAGGGTGATACAGCGATTTCTTGTCGTTAATCTCTTTCAGATCTTTTTGTCTTTGCTAAAGAAGTCTAGCAGTTTGTCTTGTGTCTAACCCTTTGATTTACCTATTTCCATACTCGGTAAACTTCATAATTGTGTTCATAATAAAAGGCTTGCTTATTGACAGTGGATTTCTTGCTGTGACTAAACTCTTTAGAAGCGAGCACAGGTTGCTGAGCGGCTCAGATGCTGGATTCCATGTCTCTGTCTGTCTCTGTGGTATATGTGAAGTACAAAAAGCCCCCTCCCTGCGCCATTCATGCCGTTGGCGCCTCAAAAATGCAAGCAGAAAACTTAAGAGAAGTAACAAGATGACAAGATGACAAGAAAAATAAAGAAAATACTAAACCAAGCAGCACAATCATAGAAGACGATATCACTTAGTCGAAATCCGCGTATAGGAGAGCCATCTGAGTCTCAGATGCCATTTTCTCCCGGCGCTTCGCCAACCCAACACGACCCTCTTTGCAAAAATCGCAGGCGAAGTCGCAAGGGGATGAGCTTGTAACAGACACACCTTCCTTAGCCGGCAGTTGTGATCCCATTTCTTCTAGCTCGAAATCACCGAAGAACTCTTTGATCAGTTCATGTCTGCACCTCCTAATACTCTCACAGTACCGAATGACCTTGCCGAAGCTTTCAAGCTTGGCCTCTCGATTTTCGGGGCCATTCGCACGGTGAGATTCAGTATCACGGTAGATCATAGTCTCTATAAAGTTCCTCTCTTGAATTCCGTAGTAGACAAGCGAGGCAGCAGCGCGGCTGTCTCGACCTGCACGCCCTGACTCTTGAACAAAGCTTTCGAAGCTTCGGGGTGGTGTCCAATGCACCACAAAGCGGACATCTGGATTATCGATTCCCATCCCGAAGGCATTCGTTGCCACGATGATGGAGAAAGCGGGTGTCTTTTCCCCATTGGCGGGCTGGCATGGCCGAGATGACTTCCACGTTGATTGAATATGCGCGCGCTTGGTGGCTTCCACGCCGGCGTGGTATGCCACTGCCGTGACCATCTCGTCCGATGAAGAGGATAGCCGGCTTGCAAGGTGTTCGGCCATAGCTCGGGTCCCTACATATACGATTCCTGACATCGGAGGAAGTAGTGTCACTTCGCTGCCAAGTCGGGCCTCTCGTCGGGTTTGGATACCCTTGAGCCATCTGAGCAAGTTTTGTAACTGGCTGTCTTCTGCGCCGCTGTTGTCCTCAGCAAAGTCTGCGAGATATCGTACCTCGTAGTGAATATTTGGACGATCTGATGGGGTGTTAAACATCCGGAGATTTTCCAGATCCAACCCCAAGATGTTTATCATGTCCGAGCGAACTCGAGGTGTCGCAGTAGCTGTCAAGGCAGTGATTGGAACGACCGGGTTGACGAGGTTCTTCCTGAACCATCCTAGCTCTTTATAAGCTGTCCGGAAGTCATGGCCCCATTCACTGATGCAATGCGCTTCATCAATAGCAACGCGGATGAGCTGACCTTGCTTGTGAACTATGAGCAAGCGGCGGCGGAAGTTGTTCGTCTGGCATAACTCTGGAGTCACATAAAGTAGGCGTGTGCTCGGGTGGCCACACAGCATATCCTCAAAAACACGCTGTCTCTCATCATGAGTAGTATTAGAGTTGATCGTAGCGACTGCCACGCCAAGAGCTTTCAATGTGTTCACTTGATCAGTCTGTTGGGGATTAGCGTTTGACCACACTCTTTCTAGAACCACACTCACCATCAATGAGAGAAGTGGACAGACGACAACGGTCACTAGAGATATTGAAGTCAGGCCAATCCGTCATTGGAATAAGAAGAGATGTTAAAACTCACAGCCCCAATCTTTGAGAACCGCAGGTAACTGATAACACAAGCTCTTTCCAAACGAAGTGCACGCTTGAAGGAAGACATCATGCCCTTCTATGACGGACGCGATCACTTCTCGTTGGAGTGGACTATGTGGCGGAATAAGTAAATTGACCCTCTTGCCTAATTCGTCAACTCACCGGAAATCATTCTTTTTGAAGGTATGTTTCAAGACCCATCGCATATTGGCTGTTTGGCGCGTCACCGCTGGGTTACGATCCATTGTGCCTCATAGCAGAGATAGAAAGACCAAAAGTGTTAGGTGAAAGTGCTAGAAGGAGGAGATTGAGTCTTCAACCGCGTCCAAGAACGCGGTGTCACGTGGCGACCTGCTCCTTCCTTTCTGGGATTGATTGGACTGCCATTTGATCACTTTTGCACCAATACTTCATGACAGTGAGGGACTAGGATCTACGAACTAGAGTCTACAAACTGGACTTGGTATTCATGTAAAATAATGCATTTGCGCCAAAGACACGCTAGAAATCGAGGCGGTATATGGCAGATCTATATGGAAAATAATGTACAAGTGCTGAATCCAGATTTCAGCTGCTCCTCTTTCTTGTTCAGCGATTCCGATGTGGGTCCCTGGACATCTGTTTATCAAGCTCTTCCTTGACGGCAAAAACATCAATCGCCTTGCGCTGCTGTGGATGCCAAAGCCGCTCAAGTTGCAACCAAACCTCGAGGACCTCTTGGGGGCCACAGCATGTTCCAAATGCTTGCAGAATAACGGTGATCATGCGACGCCCAACAAAAAGACCATTCTCGAGACGCTGCTCGGGGTCCCAGACTTCTTCTTGCTCTGCTTCGCTGGGGAACTGCAAACGAGGGTTGAAGACCTCATCTACATCAAGTTCCTCTATTTCCGTGGATTCATCTTCTGTTTCATCCAGCTCAGGCTTTGCGTCTTGTTCTGTGTCTTGAGAATCATCCATGGCAGAGCCATCAGCAGTTTCTTCGGATCCCTCTGGATTTCCAACTGTATCTTCTGTTGGTAAAGCCATGTACAACCCGTTGGGAGAATCGGTCACTGGTGGCTCCTCGACATCGATTGCCACGCTCTTAGCCAATGGGTTCTCCCAAGTCATCTTTCGGTTGTTCAAATTTAAATTTAATCCACGAAGTCTTGCATTCGAGTCGCGCAGAGCCCGGATGTATGCATGCCATGTCAGCCGAAGATTTTCCGCACTCCACTGCTTTTTCCTCCGACCATGAAGAGCGAACCCTTCAAAAAGGAACAGGTAGATTATAGCACGTGGTGGGACGATAAAGGTCTTCTCCATATCACGTATGACAGCCATGAAGCTATCGAGCTGGCCAGTGTTGTAGGCATAGTGTCGCAGGAAGATATAAAAAGTTCGCGTGTCGGGTGCAATGGAGAGAGAATCCTGGAGAGCACGGTGGTATTCTGGAAACTTCTCCTTGAGTGCTGATGACTTCTTCAATACGCGGCCCAACTTCCTAGATCTTTCCCGATATTGGGGCATGTCATAGCTCAGATTTGAGCCGCCATCGTGGGACCCATCGTCCGAATGCGAAAGGCGCTTGTTGTTGCTTGATTGTTTCTCCAGCATGCGTGCGTAGAGCTGCTCCGCAGTTTGGATGTCACCTGCCCGAAGGAAAGAGGCAACGAGGCAGTTCATGACAACTGTGTCGACGATCTCGCCCGATCTCACAAAATCGTCAAAAGTCTCTCGGATACCTTCAACATCCCGTATCATCCCGAAATAATAAATTTTTGACGTTTTTCCACAGCGTGAAAAGCTCAGACCCCGCTCGGTCATTTCCTCCTCTAGTCGATCAGCAACTTTGAATGCACTGGCTTTGATTGCGATGTCGAACAGGATGTTGAAGACCACCTCGTCAGCCTTCACTCCAGCGATATGTTCCATCTTCTGCCACATGCCCACGGCTCGGATAAGATCTCGTTTCAAAACTTTGCCGTTGGCTCGGCCAGAAAGATGTATCGCGGAAGACCAGAGTGAGCGAGATAGCGGGAGTCGCGCAGTTACCATGTCGTCCACCAATGCCAAGTAGCGACGAGCATCTACCCACCGTCGATCTCGAGGATGCGCGAATAAACGCAAAAGAGCACCGCGGGTGCGTTTCGAAAGCAAAGCTACACCCGGGGCGGGAATATCTCTGTATAATCGGAACAGGTATTGGGTGGACGGGTTTGGCTCTTCCCACAACGTTCTGACCAGCTTCTCAACCGAGTGGATTTCCATTTGATCGGGCGAATCATCTTTGTACGTCTTTTTGTAACGCGAATATGGCGCTACAGCATTCACTGCTTCTTCCCAGTCATAATTCGCCAAGGACTTTTCGTACAGTTTCGAGGTAGAGAGGTGTTTCTCCTTCTCGGGCTGTAGCCATGATGGGAAGGATTGGCGGGGGTATTTGTCCGGCTGTTTGGGGTCGATGTCGGCTTTGATGTGTTTTGTTATCTCTATTCTGCGGTCGAAATCGTATGTAAAATCAAATCTTTCACAATGGGTCTGCGATTCCGCGTCTTCATTCTTTGCCGGCCACAATGGTATATAGTCGTTGTCTGTCTCCGCCTCCTCCCGTAACTCGGTCTCAATATTATACTCCTCTGTGTTATCGTCATTCGTACGTGCCAATCCGTTGCTGATCCATCTTTTGGGTTGCGACAATTGAAACCTTGAGCTTGAATACTCCGGTTGTCGTCGGGGTGGTAGCTGTCTGCGACCAGTGGCGCCTTTGCCCTGAAATTTTCGTAAACTATGATCTGAGGCACTCCAGGCTACTGTCGACAACCCCCGACGATTGGGCGAGTGTTCGTGGCAGAAGCTTGCCAGAACCAGCGAGCCGACAAAAATATCTGCTATTGACGCGACGGATGGGCGAGGACGACGGGGACAGAGTCTTCGGACCGAGGAGGTGTGAGAAGGGGGTTTCGAAGGAGGCATTGAGGTTTGTCGAAGGAGAGGAAGCTCATCCAAGGCCTGCTTGGGGTGAATTCGCAGGCTTGGCGAGCTGGGGGACCTATTTGGATGAGGCATGAGATGACAGACATCGTGGCATTAGGTAGGCCGCATCCAAGAGAAAGCCCTTTGCCACTCGCACAAGAGAGAGCCGTCTACTTTCTGGGCGCGAAAAGTAGACAAAGGGGGAGAGGGACAAGATTTGGAAGACGTAGGAGTGTTTTTCTGAAGATGAACGGCCCTGCACTTTCTGGCCTGGCGGAGTCCACCCCTTGACCAATCGGAGCCGCCCTTTGCCAATCCCATCTTTTTCGCTCCCGCATCAACCACCTCGTCCTCCTGCAGCGCATATCTTGTCAATTGATTTGCTGTCTCCAGTCGCGTCCCAATTCTTCTTTTATTTCAAGTTCTTTTAGCTACCGGCTGTGTCCAACTGCCATGGGCAAAATAAACCTCACAGCCCTCCGGGTGCGACAGACAGCACTCAATCAATTCGCCAGTGGAAAGACCAGCAAACTGCCACAATGGGTCAGTGTGGTTGGCGAGATTCCTCCTGCTGAAACCCTCATTCGCACCCGTCCCCCTCAGCACGAGCTTGTCCAGCAACGGTTGAAGACCGTCGCTGGATCATCGAAGCCGCAGGTCGTCTTCCAAGTCCAAGAGAAGCGCAGAAAGCCCAAGAAGCCTAGTCGACTTTTCCAGCCTGTCGAGCTCAAATATGAGGAAGATCAGTTGCGAACTCAGTTCTTCCGCGATCATCCCTGGGAGCTTGCCCGGCCCCGTGTGCTTCTTGAGAGCACTGGCAAGGACTTTGAACACTATGATTGGAGCCGCATCCAACAGCCAGGGAAGCGGTTAGATGGTGAAAGGTGTGTTTCCTAATCGTTTCTGCTTCTAATGCTTTTATTTTTCTTTCTTATACGAAACTTCCCCCGATGCTAATGTGTTACTTTTCTGATACTAGTGTTGTCCAGCGACAGTTGTGGCTTTTGAATAATGTCCCGGATATGAAAAGGAGCGCCGCTTACGATATTGCTCGTCGAGAATTCTACAGACTTCGGTTGCAGGAGGACATTCAACGTCGGGTGGCTGCGGAAGAAGCTGCGGCATATGGCGCAGAGTTCGGACCATCATACATGGACATTGGCATGAAGATGGAGAACGAGCAGTACGACAAATGGGTTGCCTGGGCCCGGGAAACTTCTTTGATCCAGGACCAACGGAAATCAGCTCTCAGCGGCGCACCAGATCTGGGAGACACTACTGAGTCAAGTGAGCAGGAAGGCGAGGAAACAGAGGCGGTCACTCTGTAAGAGCCTGAGATGTTGGAGTGAGTTCGAACACCATTATGCTACACCTCCTTTTTTTAGGAGCTTTTGATCCCCCTAGTCTTTCATATTGATGGCCTATGTATATTATTTGATCTGTTCTGCTGGGCGTTGTACTTCCCTAGCTCTATTTACGCGATAGCACATGCATTCTTGGTCAATTAATTTCTAGGTGTAGTTAGATAAATCGTAGCTCTTAAACTAACTAGTTAACTATCACCCTACTATCACTAAATATGGTCCTTGATATTCCAATTTATTGATGCAGGCGGAGTCGAGACGCAGAGTTGCGGAGGTCCGGTGTTTGGACGTGTTTCACCCAATCAGAAGATTTCCAGCCTCGCCCAACTTGAATGTCCCCAATTCCCTTCATTCCAGGAGACTCAATTTATTTCGTTTTGGTTATTCGCCTCAGCCTTACACTTCAAACGTTTGTTGCTTCGATAACAACATTCTTCGACCTGCCAGATCCCCATCGTGGCCAATCTCTTTATCGCGCCCGCGATTGTCAATGAGAGCTTCATTGCACTCTTTCACTCGGTCTTGAACCAATCTGCTCTAAATTCGACTATTTGATACCCGGCCGATTCGTCGCTTGACGATTCCAATCCCTCTTCTTTCCCTCCGACCCCACCCTAACGGCCGCCTCGAGCTCCGTTCCCCGTCCAACGTCGTGACAGCCCCTCCGACTTAATCACAGTCAATGATGCTTTGCGCAGGTGCCCGGAGTGTGTTCATATGGTAATGGTCGCTGCACCTGGACATTTTGTTGGCTTTTGGCTACATAAATTCATCAACGAAAGTGCTGCTTCGAGGTGTTTGATCAACAACACTCTGGCTTTTATCAGCTATGACATCCGCCATGACTCGTCCTGAAGACATGATACGTGGACCGCGCTTGAACCGTGGCGAGACAGACGAAGATGAAATGGAAAATGGAACAC